AATTTTTTTTCCCTTCAGACTTAAAACACTAAACCTGGTTTAACAGGGCTGTGAAAATATTTCCTGCTGAGCTTTTTGCCTGTCTTTGCCTTAACCAGATCCAATTATTGGGGGGGGGTGGACCCTTCATTTGTGGCAGATCTAATGGGCAGAAGATCCTTTTCTGCAAATCGGTTTTCTATGAGTTCTTCACAGAAATCCGGTTAAATATTCTGCCCTGCCAAATCGGCTTTCCCCATCTAAGGTAGCCTTAGACAGGGGATTTCAACTCCCAGAATCCTTAGCTACGACCAGAGCATTCTGGGAGTTGAAGTCCACTGCTCTGGAAGGCCCCTTCAAAATCCCATGGGCTCCTATCAATCCAAGCCTTTGGAATGATTAACTCAGTGAGCAACTCGGAACTTACTCTGTGAGTTGAACTTATCCATGTATTGCTTGGACGGAAGCTGCCTTATTCCACCCCAAGGTTGGACTGTCTTATCGTGGCGAAGAGAAAAGTCAGCCCCACTGTTTAAATCCGTACAAGTGGGCTTTGACTTACGGCTACAATGGAGCCCCAAATTTCCATCGTTAAGTGAGACATGGGTTAAGTGGCTTTTGACCCATTTTACGGCCTTCCTGGCCGCCGTTGTGAAGTGAATCACTGCAGCTGATCCTTTAGCAACACGGTTGTTTCGTGGACCTGGTTTCCCCATCGAATTCACCGGTCCAAAGATCGCAAGAGGGGATCCATGTGACCTTGGGATGCTGCAGCCGTCGTAAGTACATGCCAGTGGCCCAGCGTTTGACTTCTGATCACATGACCACAGAGATGCTGCAATGGTCGTAAAGTGTGAAAAACAGTGCTAAGCAGGTGTAGGATTCAAAAATCCCAGCAACCGGTTCACTGCCCAATTGCCGGGTGGGCATGGCCGTGGTGGGTGTGGCCTACTGAAACTTTCAGGAGGGCTGTTTCTCACCTTCCCCAGAGTCCGGAGGCTTTCCTCAGGCCTCCGGGAGGGCCAAAATGGAGGCCCTCCAGAAGCCAGAAACAGGCCCGTTCCTGGACTTCCGGTACTTCCAAAAGACCCATTCTCCCCCTTCCTGCACTTACCCGCATCTAAAATGGGCCGTGTGGAGATTCCTGGGAGGGGAAAGGTGGGTGGGGCCAGCCGGTCAGTTCAAATACCGGTTCAGCAAACCAGTCTGAACCGGTAGAATCCCACCCCTGGTCCTAAGTCATTTTTTTTTTCGATGTCGTTGTAACTCTGAGCTATCACCAAATGCAAGAAGAGGGAGGGTCCAGCTATTCCTCAAAGCACCTGAAGGCAGGACAAGAAACAATGGATGGAAACTAATCAAGGAGAGAAGCAACCTGGAACTACAGAGAAATTTCATAACAGTGAGGACAATTAACCAGTGGGACAACTTACCTCCAGAATTCTCTAACCCTGTAAGTTTTTCAGGAGAGATTGGACAACCATTTGTCTGAAGTGGTATAGGGTTTCCTGCCTGAGCAGGGGGTTGGACTAGAAGACCTCCAAGGTCCCTTCCTTTATTCTGTTAAAGCTGTACAAAGGGAATGATCAAAGTTCGGCTGTCCTGCTAAAGCTTCTTGTGGTTTATTTTGAGCATGTTGGCAATGTTCCCACCTTCTTTCTGGACTTAAGTGTGAGGATTAATGAAAGTCACCTTAAGGCACAAGGAGGCTTAGTGTAATTAAGACTTGCAGAGGAGGGGGGGAAGGAGGGAGGGAGGGAGAGGGGGGGAGGGATCCTTGGTATTTTCTGAGCTTGACTGTTTCATTGCAGACATAGAAATAGAATGGAATGGAAAGCAAAGGAATGGAAGAGAAGAAATAGAATAGAATAGAGTAGAATAGACTGGAGTGGAGTGGAGTGGAGTGGAGTAGAGTAGAGTGAAGTGGAGTGGAGTGGAGTAGGATAGGATAGGATAGGATAGGGTAGGGTAGGGTAGGGTAGGGTAGAGTAGAGTAGGGTAGGGTAGGGTAGGGTAGAGTAGAGTAGAGTAGGGTAGGGTAGGGTAGGGTAGGGTAGGGTAGGGTAGAGTAGAGTAGAGTAGAGTAGAGTAGAGTAGAGTAGAGTAGAGTAGAACAGAACAGAACAGAACAGAACAGAACAGAACAGAATAGAATAGAATAGAATAGAATAGAATAGAATAGAATAAAGACCTTGGAGGTCTTCTAGCCCAACCCCCTGCTTAGACAGGAAGCCCTATTCCAGACAAATGACTTTCCAATCTCTTCTTAAAAACCTCCAATGTTGGAGCATTCACAATTTGTGGAGGCAAGTTGTTCCACTGGTTAATTGTTTTCACTGTTAGGAAATTTCTCCTTAATTCCAAGTTGCTTCTCTCTTGATTACAGAAAATTACAGAATAACACAGTTGGAAGGGACCTTGGAGGTCTTCTAGTCCAACCCCCTGTTTAAGCAGGAGACCCTCTACCATTTCAGTCAAGTGGTTCTCCGGTTTCTTCTCAATATCCTCACAGTGATGGAGCACCCACAACTTACGGAGGCGAGCTGTTCAACGGGTTAGTTCGATTAGATTATCAAATTAGGTAACATCATTAGTGCTAGCTGATGATGGTAATAAAATATCTGCACGAAAAGAGCCCAAATCAGAGAGCACCAAGAATTTTTCCATTCAACCCTGAGCCAGAGGTGGTATTCAGCAGGTTCTGGACTGGTTCTGGAGAACCGGTAGCAGAAATTTTGAATAGTTTGGAGAACCAGCAAATCCCACCTCTGAGTAGAGATTTTACATTATCCTTCCCCTGCCATGCCCACCAAGCCACACCCACAGAACCGGTAGTAAAAAAGTTTGAATCCCACCACTGCCCCGAGCTGCAAATATTTTTTTCTTCTGTGAGAGAAGAGTATTCCATTTTTCCAGTGGAGGTTTGGTGGTGGGTTTTTTGTTTTGTTTTGTTTTGTTTTAGATATTGACCACCTATAATTTCCAAAGCATAATGTGTCAGGTGGATTGTGTTATTTCTTCCACAAACCAGGATTCTGAAACCAAGATTCAGAGTTTTGCCTGAATGTAGGTTTCTTTTTCCCTCCTTTACCCATAATCATTGTTAGAGGCTGCTGTTCTGGTAAAGCTTTTTAATAATCTCCAGAGCATTCAGACATGCAGGTAAACAAGACTTCGAGGCTATGGGTTGAGCCAAATTTGCATGAAGGCAGCTAAATCCGGTGATGCTGAACAATTGAGGGAGCCATTTCTATTGTAGAAATGGCTGAAAGGGGACATGATGGTTGTCTTCAAGTACTTCAAGGGTTAGGATTAGGTTAGGGTTAGGTTAAGTACTTCAAGGGTTAGGGTTAGGAATGTGATGGCTCAGTGGCTAAGATGCTGAGCTTGTTGATTAGAAAGGTCAGCAGTTCAATGGTTCGAATCCCTAGCGCCACGTAACAGAGTGAGCTCCTGTTACTTCTCCCAGCTACTGCCGACCGAGCAGTTCGAAAGTGTGTAAAAAATGCAAGTAGAAAAATAGGCACCCCTTTGGTGGGAAGGTAACGGCGTTCTGTGCACCTTCGGCATTGAGTCCTGTCGGCCACATGACCACAGAGACGTCTTTGGAGAGCGCAGACATGAGCACCGTCCCCTAGAGCTGGAAACAACCAGCACGTAGCTGCGAAGGGAACTTTTAACTTCAAGGAACCGTTACAGAGAAGAGGGGATTGACTTCTTCTCCAAAACAGCAGAGGGCAGGACCAAAATTAACGGGTGGATGAGATCCAAGCTAGAAATAAGGAGAAATATCCAGACAGTGAGAACAATTACTCCACAGATTCGCTCGCCTCCTGGAGATGCGGGTGCTCTGTCGTCGAAAGTCTGCAGAGATTCTCACAGTCCTCCAGGTCATGGTTGTCCCAAAGGTGCTTTTTCCAGGAGGCAACTGGACTTTCTTGGGTTTTTTTTTTTCTCCCTTTTGAAGACGTTTCACTGCTCCTCCAAGAAGCTTCTTCAGCTTCACCATCCTGATAGTGACAGGATCCTTCCATTCAGTGGTGGGTTTGGAAAAAATTTCCTACCAGTTCGGCAGGAGCGTGCGCTTTGTGTGCATGCGTTTGAAACTCACTTTCTCCTGCAAACCCGGTTTGTAAAACAGGTGACACACAGCCATCTGTTTAATTAAACAATTTATAGATTTATAATTTATAAAGTAAATAAATTAAATAAATTAAATAAATTAAATTAATTAAATTAATTAAATTAAATAAATAAATTAAAAAAATTAAAAAAATCGGCATGAAGCACCTGAGGTTGAAAAGCAGGAAATAAAAGTAGTCAGTTTGGAGCCGGGGCCAGTGGGAAGGCCCAGCAGCTGATCGTCAGGGAAAACTGGTTCGGTCCCTGGTGATCATCAGAACTACCGGTTTGGCCCAACTGGTCCAAACCGGTAGAATACCACCACTGCTCCCATTCCCCACTATCCTGTCAGAACTGAAGAAGCTTCTTGGATGAGAAGCAAAATGTCTTCAAAGAAAAGAAAAAACCAATAATGTCCAGTTGCCTCCTGAAAAAAAGCACCTTTGAGCCATCCGTCACTGAAAGTTTTCAAAAATAGATTGGACAATCATTTGACCAGGATGTTCCTAACCTGAGCAGAGGATTGGATAAGAAGACCTTGTGGTTCTATGTTCTCTGAGATAAGCAGAACCGAAGGATCAGCTCTTTCCAGCCTTCCCTGCCGCCCATTAATTATCAGTTGTAATTAGATGTTACAATGCTTTGTTGGCTCAAGCCGATCAGGGCAATCTCTTGCTTCATCCAAGAAGCGTTGGAGCTGCAGGCGGAGATCCACTGAAGAGTCAAAAAGCTCTCGGAAGAAGCATGGAGTGGTCACTTCAGGCAGGAGAAGGACAAGGCCAAGCAGGAGGAGGAGGAGGAGGAGGAGGAGGAGGAGGAGGAGGAGGAGAAGAAGAAGAAGAAGAAGAAGAAGAAGAAGAAGAAGAAGAAGAAGGAGGAGGAGGAGGAGGAGGAGGAGGAGGAGGAGGAGGAGGAGGAGGAGGAGGAGGAGGAGGAGGAGGAGGAGGAGGAGAAGGAGAAGGAGAAGAGAGAAGCATCTCTCTGTTGAACTTCTCTCCTTTGTGAATCTTCAGCTTGCAACTCCAACTCAAGATTTGAACTACGTCTCCCCATCCCAAGATCACTGATATTTCAATATGTTGGCGCTGACATTATTCTCACTTGTATGTCTTGCTGTTGCCATCGCTTTCGCCTTCCTGGATGTTTGGTATCTCTCTTTGTTTGGCCTCATATACTGTCGTTGGAGATTGGCAAGCCCCAAAAGAAAAGTGTTGGAAGAAAGCATAATGTACAACTGCGTCTTGCCTTTTGATCTGGACCTTATGTGGCACATGAATAATGGGCGCTATGCCTGGAAGGCCGATTTTGGCCGTTATTGGTACATGTTCTCCTGTGGCCTCATACAAACCATCTGGAAGAAGACGCACAGCACCATGATGACGTCTTCCTCTTGGCGCTTCCGGCGGTCTTTGAAACTGTGGGAACGCTTTGCTATCCGGACACGCATGTTATGCTGGGACGACCACGCGTTTTACCTGGAGCAACAATTTATCAATTGCAAAGACGGGTTTGTCCACGCTGTTGTGCTGGTCCAGCATCACGTAACTGGCATGTCTCCAAGCGAAGTCATCCAGATTCTGTATGGGAGGCAGGTAAGGCTTCCAAACGTATCGCGAAGGGCGCGAGTGGTGACCTCACGGCAGACCAGGGGTGGTCTTCAAAAATGTTAGCAACTGGTTTTCTGTCCGAGGTGGGTGGATGTGTGTGGCTATGGTGGGCATGGCCTAATCAGGGCTCCAGAGGCTTTCCTTGAGCCTCCGGGAGAGTGAAAACAGCCTCCCCAGACTCCGGAAGCTCTCTGGAAGCTGGAAATGGGCCCAAACTTCACGCGGGACCATTTTCACCCACCCCAAGCCTCCGCACGCACCCTGCGCTTACCTGCATTCCAAATGTGCCGTGCGAGGGCTACTGGGAGGGGTGAGGTAGGGTGGGAGGAGCCAGCCAGGAGTGGAATTTGGGGGTTCTCCAAACTGCACAGAATCTTTGCTATGGGGTCTCCGTAACCCCTAGCAGCCCATTCCTGCCAAGGACCCTTTCCACTCTGTTATTCTGCTTTCTCCAACTTGGACAGGCATCCCTTGGACCCTTGAAAAACCTTCTCCTCAGGTCATGTCTTTTCCTGACTAGGAGAAAGAGGAGAGGGACACAGAATGATCCTGAAACATTCTTCATAAATTTTGGGCCTCCAGTCCCCTCATCATCCTGGTTGCTCTTCGCAGCACTTTTTTTCTAGAGTCTCAACATCTTTTTCATCATGCGGTGACCAAAACTGGATGCAGTAGTCTAGGTGTGGTCTTAAAGTATATACTGTATAAAAGTTTGTTGAATCCTTTGTTCTGGGTCCCAGAATTTTGCTGGTTGGGGCCCCTTTTGCGGAAGTATTTCCAAAAAAAGAAACACAACCTGCACTTTTTATCTGGAAATAAGGAGAAACTTTCTGACAGTGAGAACAATCAACTCATGGAACAGAAGTTGCCTTCAGAAGTTGTGGGAGCTTGAGACTTTCAAGAAGAGATTGGACTCCCATCTGTCAGAAATGGTGTAGGGTTTCCTGCTTGGGCAGAGGGTTGGACTAGATGACCTACAAGGTCCCTTCCCACTCTGTTATACTCTTATTCCGCTATCATATACAAAGAACAGTTGCAGGAACTGGGCCTGGATAGTCTAGGGAAGAGAAGGACCAGGGGAGACAGGATAGCAGTCTTCCAATAGTTGAGGGGCTGCCACAGTGAGGAGGGGGTCAAGCTATTTTCCAAAGCACCTAAAGGACAGACAAGGAACCATGGATGGAAACTGAACAAGGAGAGATTCAACCTGGAAATAAGGAGGAACTTTCTGACAGTGAGAGCAATCCACCCATTACAGAAGTTGCCTTCAGAAGTTGTGGGAGCTTCATCATTTGAGACTTTCAAGAAGAGATTGGACTCCCATCTGTCAGAAATGGTGTAGGGTCTCCTGCTTGGGCAGAGGGTTGGACTAGATGACCTACAAGGTCCCTTCCAACTCTGATTATCTGTAATATTCTGTATTGGTTTGTCAAGACAGGATTTAAAAAACGTTGTCTAATGGGTGTTTTGAAGATTTAAAGAGACCTGCCTTCATGCCATTCCTTTTTCTAAGTCTTAACTAATACACTTCAAAAGTTTTCTAACGTGTCTTCTATTGGCTCTATCTTAGCCCCATTCCTTGTTTTAGCAACATGTTTCAACGGGGGTGGGATTCAACTGGTGTTACTACCGGTTCAGTGACTACATTTTGTGTGCACATGCACATGCATGCCTGACGTGCGCTATGTTGTGTGTGTAAAAAAACCTTAAGCTGTGCCGCCCGGACAGCTGAAAAGCGCTGCACGCAGCTGTGCGGTGTTTGAAAAGCACTTTTTCCCCCCTGCTTTTTCAACCTCAGCTGTGCTGCACAAAGCAGCTGAGTTTGAAAAAGCAGGAAATAAAGGGCCAAACAGCAGCAAACAGAGAACGGGTTCGGTGTCTGCTGCTTTTCAGAGCTACTGGTTCTTTAGAACCGGGCAGAACCTGTAGCATCCCACCCTTGTGTGTCAACTGTCCAACCACTGGACCCAAACTAAGGAAACGCGGTTGGGAGCTTTGAATCCCCAAAAGTAAAACTGTATCGGATACGCTATTTTTTTTACTGTTGGAAGAAAAGTCCATCTGGGTTCAGTTCCAAATGGGGGAAAGGACACTGGAAACATGGAGGCTACTTGGAAGTTTGATTTAATGGGGCAGAACCATGAAGCACATGGTCCTGGTGCCGCTGGACAGATGGAATGGAGAGCGAGATACTCCTTGAAAGAAATCTATCCTATTGGTTGTCAGATTCCCAGGGGGCTATGATCCAGCTAACCTTGTAGACTGTCTGTGTCCCAGCTTTGGTGGACTCTTGCTGGGTGATGATGTAATGAAGAGGGTTGATTTCTGAAAGGTGTTGGGCAATTCCTATTACGGCTTAAAGGCTTTGGCCTGGTTTGGATCTTGCATGAGGACTTATCCTACCACCCTGGAACTAAAGGAGGCGGCTGCTTTCCAAGAGCGTGTTCCTCTTCCAAGGAGGTATAATTTTCTGCCTTTTCAATACTTCCTAGAATATTATTTCTATTATTATTTCTATTATTAGAATGTTTCTAATATTCCTAGAATATTTCCCAAAATAAAAGGGATGCGGTGGCTCAGTGACTTAGACACTGAGTTTGTCAATCAGAAAGGTTGGCGGTTCGAATCCCTAGCGCCGCATGATGGAGTGAGCTCCCATTCCTTGTTCCAGCTTCTGCCAACCTAGCAGTTCGAAAGCACGGGAAAAATACAAGTAGCAAAATAGGGACCACCTTTGGTGCGAAGGTAACAGCGCTCTGTGCATCTTCGGCATTTAGTCATGCTGGCCACATGACCATGGAGACGTCTTCGGACAGCGCTGGCTCTTCGGCTTTGTAACAGAGAAGAACACTGCCTCCTAGAGCCGGAAACGACTAGCACAGGTGTGAGGGGAACCTTTACCTTTATCTTAATATTTCATTCTTCTAGGTGGGTGCTAACTTTCTACAGTACCGAAGAATCAAAAACAGCTCCGGTTTCCCCCACACGAACGCTTGCTTAGTTAAACAATAGCTTCCCTTTCTCCCCAATGTGATCACATTGTGCAATTTTATGGGAACAGTCCGTCTTTTCCTCCAGCACCTGCAGTGGTGACCTTGATGGCTGTGAGGCTTTCAAAGTCCACAAACATATCCTCAGCATTCTGTTTCCCTCTTCCCTCCCCGCCCTCCCAGTTCATTGGCAAGTTGAAAAGGGTTACGGTTTGAAAGAAGCAAAGCAGTTGAATCTTGACATACGTCTTGTAGGACAGGGGTCGCCAACCTTTTGGACCTCAGGGACCACCCAACTCATAATTTTAAATCCCACGGACCATCTTCGCTCAAGGAGTCCTGCCGAAGTTTCTTGTTCGTTTTCCCATTATGTTAACATGTTATCTACTGCAGTAATCAACTCATTAAGTTGTATTCACACCGTATTCCAAGCGCAAAACAATCTGCAGGTGTTAAATCCCTGTGCCAAATGTTTCAGCACATTAAAAGATGCATTGATTACCAGGCATGAACTTATAACATTATACTATTTCAATTTGTAGATCTGATTCACATTCACCTTTGCTGAAGTCTTAATCTTAAGCATTGCCGCTGAGGGGGCAGAAAGGTTGCCGGAGCGGCTCCCGCTGCCACCGTTGCCATTTCTGAGGGGCGCTTCGGGTCACCATTCAAGGCCGATCGGTCAGTCTTCTGAGCCAGGCCTCGTTGCTGGTCAAAGCCTGCTTGGCTTCCCTTCCTCACTACCGCCTGATGTCGGAAATCATCTCTCTGGAGGAGCGTTAGCAGAAGCAGCCTGGGAAACTTTGGCTGTGCTCTTGAGAGACAAGAGTGATTCCGGCTGCTGCCCTCCATGAGCACTCAGAGAGAGAGAGAGAGAGAGAGAGAGGAGTTTTCACATAGCTTGGCCAAACTCCCGTCCCTGGGATACCTCCTTAGCAAGGGGAAGACTGATGGTGGCAGCGTTCAGAGCAGGGGATTTGGCTGGTGTGGGGCACTTCGGGGAAGAGCCAGGGAAGGTTCTGACGTTGCCATCTCCCACGTGCTCCCGTCCCTTCATGCATCAGCCCACCCACCAGCATCACCCCTTCACCAGCTGGCTGCAGCTCGCTGTCCACCCGTGCCCTTTGGCTCAGCACAATGAGCGTGGACTGTGTCTCCCTCCCCCATGTGGAGCACGTTCCCCTCATGCACCCACCTGCAGTGGCAGGTGCATGAAAGGAGTTCTTCGCCAGCAGGCCCTGCAGGAAGTGGGGGAGAGTGCAGCATTTCCCTGTCCACTCTCAGACCCAACACGTGGTGCCTAGCTGGGCTTACCCAAAGGGGGGAGGAGGATAGGAAACAGTGCCCCTCCCAAGACTGGAGGAAGAGGGCCTTTGAGCCCCAGGCCTCAGTTTGGGCAGTGCCCGCCCACACAGGGGGAAGCCCCTTTATCCCAAGTCATGTCTTCCCAGAACACCAACAGAGCGGGGAATTTGGTTGCAGCTCTCAGCTTGGAACAGAGATGTAGTGGTTGAACTATGCCCCCATCTTGTCACAACAGCACCATTACCTTCTCCTGGATGGCAAGGAGATTTCCAACCCCACCCACAGGCCGTTCCCATATTCCAGAGCTGTCACAAGACTGGCCCTTTGATCATCCCGGCGTTGCGTGTGATTTAACTGTGTGATTTAATTGCAGGTGGAATCGCCTGAAATCCCCGAAGACGTCCATTACTGGCTGAAAAGCATGCAAACCAACAGAGAAAGAATGAAGAAGGATATCGAGAAAAATAGCAAAAGCAACTAGAAGGTTCTTTAGATCTGCTGACATCTTCAGAAATGTGTGGGACCACCTTTTCTTCTCTATCAAGCTAAAAAGATGTTATTCCTTTTATTTTTATTTTTTTGACAACAAACATAAACATAAAACAATACATAAAACCTTCTTTCAATTTATATAGTGTGTCGGTTGGTGTATATTTCTTGTGCACAATATCTGTAATCTTTCCCTCTTAGTTTCCAATTGATATTCAAATTAAATTGATCAACTTTCATGTCATATTAGGTTATTATTACATCATCATTAGATTTAATTGCAAGATCACTTTATCCTTTTTGAGCAAATCTCAGTTTTTACCAATTCTAATTAATATCATAATAAATTATACTATTGTATTATCTTTGCTATTATATTATATTTATATTATATTTCATTTTCCTATTTTTCTATCTAACCATTGATAAAATAAGTCCCATTTATTATAATATTCTTTTTCTTCTTGCTCTCTGATGGCCAGTGACAATTTACTCATTTCTGGAAATTCCATTATTTTCTTTATCACCTCCTCCTCTATAGGAATTTTTTCATTTTTCCAATTTTGGGCAAATACAATTCTAGCTGCAATTAAAACATTAATAATCAAATATGTCAATTCTCTGTTGTATCCTTCAGGTAAGATACCCAATAAAAACATTTCTGGTTTCAAGTCTATATGCTGTTTTGTCATTTTTTCCAACCATGTATGAATTTTAGTCCAGTATCTTTTGGCTTCCACACACATCCACCACATATGATAATATGATCCAAATATCTGATGGCATTTCCAACATTTCACTGATTTGTCCTTGAACAGTCTTGCTATTCTTGTTGGGGGGAAATGCCACCTGTAAAACATCTTATACAAATTCTCTTTATATGCTGTCAACATTGTTAATTTATAGTTTCCAGACCATAATTTCTGCCATTTTTCTAAATCTGTCCCATATCCAAAAAATTTCCCCCAAGCAATCATTGTTTCTTTAACTTGTTCTTCTAATTTCACTCCAAGTAAATAACCATATAATTTTTTAATCATCCTCTCCTTAGTACCTGTTAAGATTTTATCTAATTCAGTAAGTTCATGGTAAAAACCTTCTGTCTTACTATCTTTATCATATCTAGAATGCATTTGCACATATGAATACCAGTTCATCTTTATCTCGTGTCCATCTAGTTCTTGGTTTGTTTTGAGTTCACCCTTTCAATTTAATATTTCACTATATCTATCTGTGTGTTCCATTTTATAAATAATTGGATATGCAAATACCTCCATAGTTGACAGCCAGACCGGTATTTTCATATAATGTTGTTTCCTTATTGACAATAATACATCTTGAATATAATGCCTCCTAAAATACCCATGTGTTTACTTTCCTTATACCATAAGAATGCATGCCACCCCAAGAAACAATAGAGGAGATATTAGTGGACTTGTACAATGAAGCCCTGGAGAATGCTAACATGCCTAAATCATGGTTGGAAGCATATATTACCCTTATTTATAAAGAACAATCAGAGCCACAAAAATTCAAAACTATAGACCAAAATCACTTTTAAATGTAGATTACAAAATAATGGCTACAATATTGGCGGAAAGATTAAAGAGAGTATTAAGTAGAATTATCCACACTGATCAGAATGGCTTCCTCCCCCATAGGCAAATAAAAACAAATACATGAACCATTATGGATATATTAGAATATTATGAAGTATACTCAACCAAGACAATGGCATTGATATTTTTAGATGCCCAGAAGGCATTTGACAACCTGAATTGGAACTTCCTGATTAAACAACTGATAGGCATGAAATTTGGTGAAAATTTTATAGGATTCATTAAGACCATTTATAACATGCAAACCGCAAAAATATTAATAAATGGGGAAAATACAGATACCATAAAGATACATAAGGGAGTAAGACAAGGCTGCCCCCTAGCTCCTCTATTGTATATATTGGCAGAAGAGACTCTCTTAGTACAAATTAGGCAAAAGCAAGAGATTAGACGACTAAAAATTAAAAAAGAGGAATATAAACTCCAGGCATTCGCCAATGATATGGCATTTATATTAAAAGAACCCTTAGAAGCGAGCCCTATACTACTAAGAGAAATAGAAGAATATGGAAAGGTAGCAGGGTTAAAAATTAACAAAGAAAAAACAAAAGTATTTACAAAAAACTGTACAAAAGAGCAGAAGGAAGAACTAGCAAATAAATTAGGTATGTAGGTGGTAAATAAAGTAAAATACTTAGGAATCTGATTGATTGCTAGATGTTCATCGATTAAAAAAGATAACTATGATAAGTGAATAACGCAAATAGTTAAAGATTTAGATAATTGGGCCAAATTGCAGTTATCGCTATTGGGACGTATTTCGATAGTACAAGTGAATATTTTGCCAAAACTGTTGTCCTTGTTTCAGACAGTGCCAGTCAAGTTGGAAAATAATTTTTTTGTAGAATTAAACAAATGTATATCTAAATTTATATGGCAGAGGAAAAAACCCAGAGTGAAATATAAATTGTTACAGGATGCCAAGAAAAAAAGGAGGATTTGGCCTTCCAGATTTTGAATTATATTATGATGCTGCTATAATAAACTGGCTTAAGAATTGGGTTAAATTAGAAAATAGAAGGTTATTGGTATTAGAAGGTTTTGATCTCCAACTTGGCTGGCACGCCTTCATGTGGGATGGAAAATCTAAACAACATTCATATTTCCAAAGGCACCATGTAAGAAATGTGTTGTTCAATATCTGGGGAAAGATTTAAAAAAACCACTACCCAAAGGTTCCATTGTGGCTATCTACATTGGAAGCAATCACATATCCAAATGTATTGGATTATGAAAATATTGTCAGATATAAAGATTTATTATATGATACTGGAGAGCTTTAAAAAAGGAACCAAATACAAATTCAAGGAAAGGAGATAGCATGGTGGCCCTTCGCACAAATACAAACCCATTATAAAAAAGATAGAGAACAATTTGCATGGGTTGGAGGGGTTTGAAGTGGGTAGTGATGCAGCTGCGGTACGGCTTCTGGTCCGTGGTCGTGTCTCATCTTCTGTGTGGGTGTGAGTCTGTTTTCTACGTGGAAGTGTGGTGGTAGCATCTTGTGTGGCCCTCGTGGTTTCTGCTATCTCATGAAAAACAAAACAAACATTCCAACATTTCTTTAACTGGCTAAGATTTGCTGAGAGAAAAATGAGGAGTAAAGTAATTACTTTAGTTACTAATAACGGGACTGAGTTTATTAAATGACACCAGACCCACACCCATGAGGGCCACACAAGATGCTACCACCACACTTCCACGTAGAAAGCAGACTCATACCCACACATAAGATGAGACACGACCACGGACCAGAAGCCATACTGCAGCTGCATCACTACCCGCTTCAAACCCCTCCAACCCATACATGAAGTGAACTAACGCCCACCATGAAGATGCAGCACGACCACGAACACAAAGCCAAACAGCAGGATCACAGCTCACCAGCTCAAATCCCCCAGCAACTAAGACTAACCTGAGCACAACCAAGCCCCTACCTGAACAGAACACACCCCCAGCCAATCAGAACACAGCCAACCCCCAACCAATCAGAACACAGCCAACCCCCCAAACAATCAGAATACACCCTCTAGCAGTTAAAAGGAAGAAGCAGCTGCAAGCTCACATTACTCTGAGAAGCACAAAGCTGAAGACACAAGCCTGAAGATGATGAATGAGACTTCATCGAAACGTTGCCTAGATACTTCCAATTTTACGCAGGAGAAAACCCGAATAACCAAAGAGATAGATATATATATGACTGAACAAGAAGCTACTGGAATAATTTCACTGTTAGAAAAGAAATTTAAAATAAAACAGTTAGGTGAAATTAAATAATATCTTGGTTTAAAAATAGATAAAACTAGGGGAGGATACAAAATCTCAGAGGCAGATAAAATTAACCAATTACTAAAGAATTTTAAAATGAAACTTTGTAAGCCGGCTTAAACACCGATGAGCCAGGAGTTTAGCCATAGTGATGTACAAAGTCCTGTTTTTGATAAAGATATTTATCAGTCCTTAATTGGTAGCTTATTTTATCTCAGTAATTGATCAAGGCCAGATATAGCATATAGTGCTAACCAATTAGCTATGTTTAATGCTGAGCCAATTGAAAGGCACTGGCAAGCTGCTAAATACGTGTTAAGATATCTAAAACAAACAATGCATTATGCATTATATTTGGAGCCTAAGGTTGAACTAAGTTTAACTGCATATGCTGATGCAAGTTTCATTAAAGATGTAAATACATGTAAATCTACATCAAGTACTGTAGTATTGTTAGGAAAGGTGTTGATTGGATGGAGGACTATTCGACAGAAACATTTAAGTTTGTCAACAATGGGAAGCTGAATTCTCATGTTTATCTCTATTATGTACAGATTTAGTTTATTATAAGCAACTATTGATTGATATGGGAATTGATGTAACAGATTCTATTGGTGTTTATGAAGACAACCAATCAGCAATACGGATGGCTTCCAATCTTGCTGTTAAGACAAGATCAAAACACACAGATTTAAGATATTTAAATGTGAAACAATGTGTGCAAAGTAAGATGATTAAGCTGTAATACTGTATGTCAGAAAATAACATCGCAGATCATTTTACAAAAGCCCAAGGCTCTGTAAAGCATAAGGCTTGCTGTGAGGATTATGGACTTAGAATGTAAGGTTGTATATATTGTCCTACCCAAAGGGGAGAATGTTAAGAATGGAAGTCACCTAACACTTAGACAATTTAATACTGTCTCTTTAAGGGAATGCTAAACTTGTAATTGGGCGTGGTTCCTCAAACAGTCATAAGATGGAGCCAAAAACCTGGGTTGTTTAGTCCTGTTGTTGACAGTTGCTAGTTGGTCAATGTTCTGATGTTCCCTGTTTCCTGAATATTTGCCTATTGACTGTTTCTGATCATAGTTCTTCTTGGATTGATGTGAGTTTATTACTGAACTGTTATTGATATTGGACTTTGTTATTGGATTATCCCTAGACTGAAAACTGACTGCTATAACTGTGT